ACATCAGCTCCCCTTTGAAGAGTCTTTAAAAGATGAATTATCCTCAATCCTTGGAGGAAATTGAGAGGATTAATATTTCAGACCCTCCAATAACCATGCCATTAGCTGGCAGTAATTTTTTTAACCTGATTCCCGTTATGTCTATTTGTAGATAATGCATCTTCTAGCTTCAAAGATCACCTTTTGAGAAGGACCCATTTGAAGTCTTTCAGTAATTTAAATGGGACCTTTATGGTAGTTCTCCTGGGGATGAGAACAGCTGAATCTTGACATGCACACACATGCATGTATACACACACCCACCACAGTATCAATGTAGGCACATCCCAGTATCCTTGATCATGGCTTTTGACCAGACCAACTTTCTCCTTTTGCTATCTGTTGTTTCTCCTCTTCTTCCTTCCCTTCTTCCCTGCCTCCCTCCCTCCTTCCCTCCCTTACTCTCTCCTTCCCTCTATCCCTTCTTCCCTCCCTCCCTTCCAGCCTTCTTTCCTTTTGCAAGTGGTCTTGCTGTGATATATAGTCTAGTCTTGAACTCCTGTGCTTAAGTGTCCTCCTGCTTCTGCTCCCAAGTGTTGAGATTACAAGTGTGTTCCACAATGTCCAGCTGTTTTGTGGGTAAGAGAGGGTGCCCATGCACCTACGTGTGTAGGCGCAAGGTAAATGTCAGATGTCTTTTCTCAATCTTTCTTTACCCTCATGTTTTGAGACAAGGTCTCTTACTGAACTGAAGCTCAGGCCAGCTGGCCATGAGTGTTAGGGATCAACCTGTCTCCACACAGCACCAAAGCTGGGGTTACAGGTACATACCACTATACTGGGGATTTTTGGTGGGTTATGGGGATCTGAGTTGTGGTCCTTGTGACCGTATGGCAGGTACTTTACCAATGAGCCGTCTCTTCAAGTCCCAAATGTTCCTTTCTCCTTAATTTGGAGGGTTCATCCATGGAGTTTTCCTGAGCATGACACATACATGTGCCCGGAGGTTTTGGATTTTCTTCTTTTCTTGGTTTTCTGCTGTCCGTGATCTCAAAGGCAATTGCTGATGACTTGAGCCTGCTTTTGCCATCACTCCAAAGTTTACCTTGCAGCTTCCAAGTCACACCAGCTAGTTTTGGGATTGGTCTGTGGTGCTCTGAGCATTTTTTGTCAGGAGGAAACAGCCTGCCATTCTGCATTTCTTCTAAGCCTCCCATACCACGACTCTTCCATCACTCTGCCCTTAGCAGTTATGGGAGTCCTGAGTTTGAGGACCCTTGCAAAGGTTGCAGAGGTCCCCCCCCCCACACACTTACCACACCACACCAGTCTTGTCTTAGCTGGGTTTTCTACTGCTGTGATGAAACACCAATACCAAAAGCAACTTGGGCAGGAAAGGGTTTGTTTCACTCAAGTCCCATATAACATGTTGCTCCTTATCAAAAGTAGTGAGGGCAGGAACTCAAGCAGGGCAGGTACCTGAATGGATGCAGGAGCTCATGCAAAGGCCATGGAGGGGTGCTGCATACTGGATGGATTGCTTCTCGTGGCTTGCTCAGATTGCTTTCTTATAGAACCCAGAACCACCAACCCAGGGACAGCCCCACCCACCATGGGCTGGGCCCTCCCCATCAAACATTAGTTAAGAAAATGCCTTGCTGGCTTGCCTACAGCCTGACCCTATGGAGGCATTTTCTCAGTTGAGGCTCCCTCCTCTCCGATGACTTTAGTTTGTGTCAAGTTGACATAAAACTAGCCAGCACTGGTCTAAAGCACTGGTCATGGGAGAGATGTCTTTTTGGGCCTCTGTGACATGAGCCTAAGAAAAGTTCATATACAAGAAAGCACAAGGCCATTAGGAAGCCACCTGGGTCAAGTGCTGTGCCTTAAATGTTTAACATAAAGGGTCTGTCTGTCTATACATATGTCTACATGTCTGTATGTATAGATTTTTCTTTTAAATAGGAGTTACAAAGAGTTTGGGAATGGTATTCCACTTATGATCTCTAAAATATCCGAATTTGGGGCTGGGGTGGTTTGGGATAGGGCCAGTGGGTACAGTGCTTTCTCTGCAAGTACACGGATCTGAGTTCGGATCCCTGGCACTCACAAAAGCTCGGCACAGTGGAGTTCATCTGTAGCCCACAGTGAGTTCCAGGTTCAGTGAGAGACTGCCTCAAAAAACAAATGAAGGAGAAAAAAATAAAGCTCAGAGTGGCAGAGAAAGATCCTTAACACCCAACAGCCTCCTCTGCCTCCATCCACACCTGCACACATGTGTGCATCCATGCACACACCCTCACCATTCCACACCCAAAAATGCCCAAATCTTTTCTTCCCACATGCTCCCTAGAAAGCTGTAGTAAGCCAGGCGGTAGTGGCACACACGTTTAATCCCAGCACTCGGGAGGCAGAGGCAGAGGCAGACTGATCTCTGTGAGTTTGAGGCCAGCCTAGTCTACAGAGTGAGTGCTAGGACAGGCTCAAAGCTACAGAGAAACCATTTCTGGAAAAACAAACAAACAAACAAACAAACAAAAAAGCTGCAGTAATGAGAAACGGCCAAGGAATGGGAATTCTCCTGACAGTGAGGATGTAGCAAAGAAATTAGCCACGAGGATGTGTGGTGTGGAACTCGCTGTTACCCAGGAAGCCTAACTGTTTGCTAATAGGCTTCTGGTTGAAATAGTGATGTTGTCTACACAGTGAACTCAGAGAGGCTATTAGAGAGAGGGAATTGAGTCATGTATACTCATGTGAAACAATTTCTAAGAAACATTGTTCACTGGAAAATCAAGGGACAGAACTGTAGGTATAGTGGTTATTTTTTTTTTTTTAATTTCAAAGGCACATACTTATGTGTATGTATGAAAATATGGTTATAACTAGGAACTCCTAGAGAAAAATTTCAAGCAGCTGTTATGCATGGTTAGCTCTGGAAAGTATGACTGAGACCCTGAGGTACAATGGAGGCATGTGGTTTTGAATTCTTTGGATAGCTTATTAAATGCTCAAATTGCTTTTCAGCTATAAAAAAATAATTCTAGTATAATAGCATAAGCTAAAAGCTACATCCTGACCATGGGTCAGGGGTCGCTCTGGGGATCCTGGGATCTCTCTCCTGATATCCAGGACCTGGGTCGATTATCTGTTTTTAATCTGTTCCAGGGACACCTTCCTCTATACTGAACCCCACAGTGACAATCTCACCCTCCTAAAGCACCCAGACTCTACACAAGACCTGGTCAGAGCCTGGCCAAGGCCAATGCCTGGGAGAGTGCATCTCCAGCCTTGGCTGTCTTGTCCTTGTTCCCTTCTTGTCTACAGCACTTTCTTTGTCCTAGGCAGGCCACAGGCTCCCACCTCATTCCCTCTGGGAAGGTCCCTTCTTCCATGAAGAGTCATTTTCTGCCTGGGTTTCTCTCCAGGACAGTAAAAGCTGGAGCTGCTCCAGTCCTTTCAAGTCCCCCGGAAAGAGGTCCAGGCATGAATCTGATTGCCTTGCCTTGAACCAGTGGACAAATCAATGCCTGTGTCCAGGGGGGCGTGATGTGCTGATTGGGGTTATCCCTGCAGTCAGAGGTGGAGTCAACTGTCCAATCAGGACAGTGGGTGCAGGAGAGCGGAGGGTTCCCTGCTCAAAGGGGATCTGGGCCTGTAAAGAGCATCTGAAACCCTCCCCAGCAGCACCCCAGTACCTCCCTTCCCCTTCCCTCCTCTGTATTGCTAGAGACTGAACCAGAGGTGTTGTATGTGCTAGGCAGATGCTCCATTCCTGACCATAGCCCTAGGCTCCTTTCCACTTTTTCTACGTTTTGAGCCAGGGTCTCACTCAGTTGCCAGAGCTAGTCTTTGCCGTGTGAACCTCTCCCGAGCACCACCCTCTGCCCGTTTCTGGATGACAGGTTCACACCACAGATGCACACCATCAGGCCCAGCCATTTTCAATGATGTGGAATTCTCTCTTTGCTTAAACCATCTTGATTCAGAGTCTGTGTTTTTACTCATTTCAATGAGAGCTCTGATGGAGAAAATGGAGAGACTCGGGCACATGCAATCAGCCTTGATAGTTTTGGTTTTACAGCTCAGTGAGTGCAATGGTCAATAAATCACATTAGAACTTCAATATTTCATTACAAAATGGGGTTTGTGTGAGGTGTTTTGCTCAGTCGGAGGCTAATATAAGCTAGGCTAAGCTGTGGTATTAGATATATTACATGTACTTTCTTTTAACTGACAATATTTTCAAACCCATGGTAAATCAAGAGACATCTGTAAGAGAGTAGTGGATGCTGGGAAGGCTGGATTAAAAGTAATTGTTCTCTTACACATGTTCTTCATTTACATTTCTATTTATATGTGTGAGCATTTTCCCTCCATGTATGTGAGTGTACCATGAGCATGCCTGGTGCCTGTAGAGTCCAGAAGAGGGCACTGGCCCCTCCGGAACTGGAGTTACAGATGGTTGTGGGCTTCCGTGTGGGTGCTGGGAATCAAACTCAGGTCCTCTGCAAGAGCAGCCAGTGCTCTCTAGCCCTGGTTTTGCTTCTAAATTTAAATGTAATTTTTTGAGATAGTTTCAGTACGTATTCCTGGCTGCCTGCCTCTGCCTCCCCAGTGCTGGGATTAAAGGTGTGTGCCACCACAGCTAGCTTAAGATGTGCAGCCCTGGCTAGAACTATCTTCTTACCTCTGCCTCTCTCTCCTTGAACTCAAAGCTCACTAATTTGGCTACTCTAGTTAAGTAGCTGGTTCCAGGAATCTTGGTCTCGTCCTCCAGTGCGAGTATGACTAGTGGCCCACTATGCCCATCCAGCATTTTTATGGGTTCTGGGGACTTAAACTCCAATCTTCATACTGGCGTGGCAAATGCTTTACCCCAGCCCCTTGCTCTGTGTCTGTTACCTGCAGTGCATTAAGCATGGGTTGCTAAGTGCTCACCATCCTCTGCCAAGTTGTTTTAGTTGTTCATCAGTTCAAGGGGGTGAGAGGAACTCTCTTTTCTACTGTTGGTGTTGCAGGCAAGAACATGAGCCGTCTCTACACAAGTGACAACTGCTCATTCGATGACGTGGATAAGCTGATGAGTACCTTGCAGCTGGCAGTCCACATCCCCACCTTCCTCCTTGGCCTGGTCCTTAATCTCTTGGCCATCCGAGGCTTCGGCGCCTTCCTTAAGAAGAAGAAGAGGCAGCCAGAATACATTGCCACTTCCATCTACATGATTAACTTGGCTGTCTTCGACTTGCTGCTTGTGCTTTCACTCCCATTCAAGATGGTTCTGCCACAAGTGGACTCCCCCTCCCCCATCTTCTGCACTCTGGTGGAGTGCCTGTACTTCATCAGCATGTACGGAAGCGTCTTCACCATCTGCTTCATCAGCCTGGACCGCTTTCTAGCCATCCAGTACCCAATCCTGGTCAGCCACCTCCGGTCCCCCAGGAAAACCTTTGCGATCTGCTGCATCCTCTGGATCCTGGTATGGATCGGAAGCACCCCCATCTACACTTTCCACGGGGAAGTTGAGAAATACAAGTGCTTCCATAACATGTCTGATGGCACCTGGAGTGCCAAGGTCTTCTTCCCCTTGGAGATCTTTGGCTTCCTCCTTCCCATGGGCATCATGGGCTTTTGTTCCTATAGGAGCATTCACATTCTGCTGGGCCGTCCAGACTACACCCAGGACTGGATCCGACAGAGAGCCTGCATCTGGACCATCGCTACCAATCTTGTCATCTTTGTGGTCTCTTTTCTCCCAGTGCACTTGGGTTTCTTCCTGCAGTTCCTGGTGAGGAACGGCTTTATCTTGGAGTGCAGAGTCAGGCAGAGCATCAGCTTGTTCCTGCAATTGTCCCTGTGTTTCTCCAACATCAACTGCTGCCTTGATGTTTTCTGCTATTACTTTGTCATCAAAGAATTCCGCATGGGCATCAAGGCCCACCGACTTCACTCAGTCCAGCTGGTCCACCAGGACACCACGATCTCCAGGGGTTAAGGGAAGGTACCCCTCTCAAGGGAAGGAGATCCTAGTCCCAAAATCTTATAAGGAACATTCTGTGCTTCTTTGACACTCACTGAGTAACATCTTTGTTCTGTGTACCCTTAAGACCTTTCCACAGCACCTGGATGACTGAGGTACATCACCTTTGGTTTGGGTTTGCTAAAGAACAAGGTGACTTCTTCATTTCTAAATCCAATATGTATGAAGCAGAAGAAATGAAAAAGAAAATGTAGCATTAGACATCTGTTTCTCAGCTTTTCTATCTTTCCATTCTGTTGGAAGAGTCTAGAAAGGGAGAGAGAGAGATGGAGAAAGGATTAGGGCAGGGAATCAAGAGCATTTTGGTAGAGATCTAGGGATAGGGAAGAAATATGCCTTCAGGATAGAGTAAGCGTGTACTTTTTTTTCCAGACCCTTCTGAAGCTCTGTTGGCAATTGACCTCACAGAAATGATGACAAAGGGAGCTTTTAAGGGCTGAACAAATTCCCTTCCAGCCCTAGAAGGCACAAGAGGCCATCCAAACCTCAGGCCCCTGAGAAGGATTAGATGGAGGGGACAGTGTGAAGTAGGTCACTATGGAGGGGGACACTATGGGGCCAGTAGGGACAGAGTGGAAAGTGAGCAGAGTGAGAAGGTGTAGAATATACCCAGGGAAGGAAAGAGACACACCGGAGCTGGAACTGGATGGCCCCTTTCCTATTGCCATCCTGTAGTAGTGCTGTCCCAGGACTAAGACAGCCTAAAAATATAACTCTCTTAAAGGTGACCAGCCTTCCATGTTGAACAGCCTTGAACAGATTCAATAGACCTGTGTGAAAGGGATGAGAAAGGATTGAACTTAACTTGGTTCAGCCATAGCAGAATGAAGAAGGTGTCCCTTTTGGGTCCTACTTGGACAGCTGGTACTGGTGACACTGTCTAGGGAGCTGGCCAGAAATTGGAGGGGGAGGGAGAGGCTTTCCTCACAAAGACCTGGATTGGAGGAAGGTGGTAGGCGCTCACCAGTTCCTGGAGGGGAAACTACAGGCAGCTGAATCAGTGTGGGAGCCTTCATCAGCTCCTCTTACTCTGGCAAAGGAGCTCACAGTGACAGCTGAAAGTCTAGCTTGCGATGACTCAGCCTTTCCAGAGAGTGAAATGATCAGAAGGATAAATTGTGGGGTGTTTTTGCAAGACGGAAGGAGTGGGACGAGAAGAAACCCGTGAGACTTCGCATGAATAAGACACGAGTCTTTAGGAAGAGAAGCCACCACAGCCCTAACTGGATCCTGCAGGGGCTGGGGGCTGGGGGATGGCGTGGAGAGGGACGGGAGAAGATGGAGATGTGTCTGTAATTTGGGACCTGCCCGCAAAGCAGAAGATGGTGGTGAGACAAGGCGTGGGAGGAGGGAGGAGTAGGAAGGGAAGGAAGAAGAGGAAGGGAGGGAGAGGAGGTAGAAGGAGAAAGGAGAGGACAGAAAAGGAGGAGAGGAGGAAGGGAGATGGGCAGGAAGGGCTGAGGCCCTGAGAGAGTAAGGAAGGTGAGTAGGGAGGCTAGGGGCAGAGCAGCTTCCTCCCGTCATGGATTAGAAGCCATGGAAGGGTGGGACATCCAGGCCGTAGTGGCTGTGGCAATGTTTAAGTGTCACTGTGGAGCCACCTGTGGGCCACTGAAGGAAAATGTAAGGAAGAGACTCAAGGACCTTGGCAGTGTCTGTAGAGGAGAGGGGTACGAGGACAAGAGCCCAGTGCCAGGGTTGGGCCTCCAGGAACCTCTTGGCGGTCTCAGGGCTGTGCAGACCCAGAAGTGGATACTGTTTTGTCTCTCAGCTGTCTTGGACAGAGACACCATCTGTAACACTGAGACAGCCTGACTGTTACGTACAATAGAACATTTGTGGCTGCTGTAGGTTAGCCCGTGACCGGGTAGGTCGTGGGACCACCTCCTCCGAGTTCTGTCAAAAGGGTAGGGAATCTAGAGCCATGAACTGAGGAAAGGTAAGGACAAAGTTCCTGGAGGGGGACAGCAGTGTCAGATCGGTGTGATGACCCTGGACCTGGAGATGGGGGGGGGGGTAGGGCTTGAGAACCCCTGATTCATTCCAAAATAGTGAGTGAAGGGAAGACAATTCTTGTCTTTTCCCGTGGAGACTTACCTGGTGTGTGTCCAGACTCTGGGCCCAAGTCACCAGTCCTATGGGTCCTCAACTGGCAATTGGCCCGGCTGTACCGGAACTGAGGAGGGTCGGTGTTAAAGTCGGAGTGCAGCATATTGCACTGGTGAGTGGGGACACCCAGGACTTAGTTGTGGGAAAAGTCTAGATCCCTGTAACTAAAGCCGATGGGGCTAGAAGCTATTGTTTAACCATAAACATGACCTTATCTGTACCCAGGCTAGGAAGCCTGACACATCAGCTACATGTACAGTTGTAAAATCTAGCAACATTAACTGGAAAATCGATTTGATTAATATTATTTACTGAATAAATAAATTCATTCAATGCACTGTGTCCTTGTCTTGGGCTTTAATTTCTGGTTCCAGAGAAGAACTGGTCTCTAATGGCCCCGCTAAGGGATTCAACACTTGTGGTCCCTTTACCAGACACCTGGGCACCAAGCATGATGTCACAGGGCACCTCTCAAGTGTTCAACTGGTTTTCCCGGTTGATCAGGAGCTAGACACCTAGGGGGTGTCTAGTGGCAGTCTCGTGGGTGCTCAGTTAGCTGTAGTAGCCACTAAGTCACTTAGACCCCATGCACCCCGGCTCCAGTCCTTTTTAGCCTGTTCCTCCATCTTGAACCATCACAACACTGGCTCTGTAAACATGAGGGGCCCAGCCCAAGAGGCCTGCTGACCACACGTCCTCCAAAGGTAACACTTCCTTCTCTGGCCAGTTATGGTATAAATCTATCTTTCCTCATGGGGAACTCCTCCTCACCTACCAAAGCCCCTGGCCGGCATGGCCTAGGCCTAAGTTACTCCTTTCTCCTACATACTCTAGTTCCAAGACATGACCCGGGTGTGGAAGGCTGACCAGGGACAGCCTCATTCCTTAACCGTCACTTCTCTGTTAATCCTAGCTACCTCATGTCTCTCCCCTTGGCTCCCAGAGGATTACATTGGACAACATCTATTTATCATTTGCACTTGCCGCTGTTTCTCAAGTGTCCCCTCCCTGTGGACCCTTCCAGGGAAGATTTAATTGGAAAATGCCTGTTCACATCAGCTGCATTTATTTGTCAGCTATGTTCCTCACGTGTCCCCTCCCTGTGGACCTTTTGAAGCTAAAGTCACTACAGTAATACAGTGGAGATGCCCTGGGTTTCTGAGAACGCCCACAGGGAAGATTCTAGCCTCTAGAAAGTTACAATGAATCACCAATAATTTCAAAGATGCTTGAAATGACTGTAGCGGCTGCAGAGACTTGCAAGGATTAGAAAGGACTGGCTTAACAGATCATTGGTGAGCCTTCTAACCAGGGATGAAAAGGCTCACTTCGACAGCACACACACTAAAACTGGAACTACACAGAGAAGATTAGCATGGCCCTTGCACAAGGATGACACCCAAATTTTTGGAGTGTTACCAATTTTGTCAAATAAATAAATAAATAAGTGAGTGTCAGCATGTGGAGATGCTACCTGTAAGGTCCTTTATGGTCCTCAGAGGGCCAGCTACGCTGTGGACAGCATCCTTTTGGGGCCACAGAGAGGCTGACTGAGGCCACTATGAGAATCTCATTCTGAGGACAGGGGACCCAAAGAGTCACAAAAGTTGATTTTGAGGTGCACGCCCCTGAAACTATCACCATAGCTCCTCTCACTTCTCAGCAGTGCCTCTCGGTAAGACCAGGGTAGAGCTCCCACAGGCGCTGAAGGAGCTTGGAGCACAGTAGAGGTGAACACAGCATGTTCACGTCCCCTCGTGCTGGGCTGGGGTGGGGCCAGGGGTGGGGGGGACAACCTTCACTGTGATCTACAACAGAAGTGAGGCCGGCTGTCCTTTGATGTCTGCAAAGGAAAGACTTCAAAGGAATGCTTGTCGGAGCAAACCTGAGCTCACCTTTGAGGCCCCAGGCGGCGCCTTTGCTCCAAGGCAGTCACCTGAGCAACCATAACCAAAACTTGTCTGCAAGGATGCAGTGCGGTCATGGGGGTGGGAGGAGATGGGAGAGTGTGGGAGGGGCCTTGAAGAGCACAGACACCAAAAGAGGGTATTCAGGGTGATCTGCAGAGTGTGGCACAACCCCTTTTCTAAGGATGGTTTGGATGCTCAAACACTCCTGTTTCCCATCCAAGTCACATGATGGGAAAGGTTGATAGTGAAGAAGGCTAGGCACTTAGGGCCATTCGTTGTTCAGGGATAAGCCAGCCCTGACTAAGCCTGAGGATGGCAAGAGCTGACTCTCAGAGACAGAATCTCTCACACAAGCTGAGCCTGCCCAACGGATAGGACTAAGGCAAGAGACTCAATGCTAGTGGCAAAGGTCCAGGGAGAAGACAGTTTTCCTTCCCTTCCCTCTCCAGTAGAGAGGACCTACGAGCCAGGAGTCCTAGGATGGTTAAGGAAGGCTCCAGACAGGCTTCAGGGTAGGGGATATTTGGGGAGTGGGACTTCAGAAGCATTTGGTAGATGAGGAGATGCCCCCATAAACACACAAGATAGGCTGGTACACCTAGGCACTGGGAAGGACCAGTCCGGCTACAGGAGGCCTCTGCCCTGTTCTTCTACACAAGCACGCATATCCCCTTCTCCACCCCCTAAAGGGGCAGCTGGGGCTTTGCTTTCACTGAAGGTGATCAAGGACAATCACTTGCTATAGAGTGGGGCAGGGGACAAGTGCCAAAACACAGGTGGTTTGTAGACTTGCCTGCACCTGTTGGATCAGAGGGTCAGGAACATTTCAGAACCAGACAGATGGGCTTCTGGCATCCATGGAGGATGGCATCAGGCCAGCATGCCTTGAGTGTTATAGGCAATTTAACTCCAGAAGCAGGGGGGTTTAAGCCATTGAGATGAACACAGATAAAGGTTGGTGGTTAACAGAGATGAGCTGTTGGTATTTTCTCCCTGGGATTT